CCTCCTGCCCGACCCCTGCCCCCCACACCCCACGGGCTCCATCCTGGTCCCGGGTCCAGCCCAGTCTTTCAACCAGCCCGCGACCTTCTGCGCAGGGACCTGACCCTCCCTCTGCATCTCCTGCAGCAGCTGGGCCCAGAGGCTGTCAGAGTCTGGGTTTCTATGGTCCCGTCCCTCACTGCTCCAGCTCCTGCCAGAGCCCAGAACCCTGCGGTTTTCAGTCAGACGAGTAGTTGGTGGGCCCATGAACAGCCAGCAATCCTGAGACAGACACAGCTGAGCTCAGTGTGTCCCTGGTCCTGCCCCAAACCGTCCTGGACACTGCTTGGGCAGCCGGCCTCTGGCATCAGTGAATTCCTGCTCATCGATGGACAATCAGATCGGGTGTTGTTGCCAGAAGGGGTGCGGAAGGTCCAGCCCGCAGAGTCTATAAGGTCTGGGAAAATATTTGGTCTGGCCCTGCCAAGGCCACCACAGGCAGCACTCAAAACTCAACACATCTAGGAGCTTCGTTCATAGCTAATTGTTAAGTTAATTTTGTCCGGCCCCCGAATGATGCAATAAATATCCAAATGGCCCTTGGCAGAAAAAATGTTCCCCACCCCTGGCTCAGAGACGTGCATGGAGAGAATGGGCCCCGTGTTCTAGACCACGTTCCCTCATATGAGTGGGAGATTCTGGATTCCGTCTAAATCAATAAACAAAAGGGATTTATCGGAACTGCACTCCAGGAAGGACACTCTTAGTCCAAGTATGAAATGCCAGCCGAGCATTTTCTGTGAGGGCTTTTTCCTGAGCCCTGCCCTGGCAGGACCAGCCCAACAGTGCCCCCTACTGGTCTCTGGTGAAGTGTCCACCAGCCCTTTGTTCAACTGTAGGCTCAGCATCCCAGCAGAGGTTACAGGCCAGCTCTGCGTCTGGAATTCCTCTGGGGCCTGAGTCTCCACCCAGGACCTCCCAGCTCAGCGCCTCATCAGGGGTGCACGTGCTTCTCTGCCAGCCCGGAGCACAGTAGCTTGGCAGGAAGGAGAAGGGCACTGTTCTGACCTCTGGAAGAGCAGAGTCTGTGCTGTGGAGGATGGGCCACCTGCTGGGATGGTCCTGGGGCTCTGAAAAAAAAAAGCTGTTTCCTTATTTCAAGAGAAACACAGCAGTCCCACATGATCTGGTTTTATTACCCATGGAAAACAGGCTCCTATGCAGTGACATAAGGCCAGTTCATTTTTGTATTGGTTCTGTTTTTCTGAGACTTCAGAAACATGGAATGAAAAATTGAAAATAGACCCATTATAAACCCGAAGGTACTTCCAAGTATAGTTTGCATACAAAAGTTAGTTTAAAATGTTCATTCATTGTGAACCAACACAACAATTGAGTTTGAGGTTTTTGTCCCACTTCCCCATCTGTGTGTGTCACTGTGAGGAGCATTATTGTGCCCAATCATACAGTAATAGTCAGCGTCGTCCTCAGGCTGCAGCCCAGAGATGAGCAGAAGCCCTGCATTGGCCGAGGTGTCTGTGGATCCAGAGAAGCGGCTGGGGACCCCGGAGCCCTGGTGCTTATCTGAGTCTGAGTTATACCACAGGAGAAACCGGGGAGGGCTCCTTGGCTTCTGCTGGTACCAGTGTATGTAGTAGCTGCCAACACTGATGCCACTGCTGAGGGTGCAGGTGAGTCTGGCTGTGGATCCAAGAGATGCAGAGACGGAGGGCGGCTGAGTCAGCACAGGCTGGGACAGGGAACCTGCAGAGACAGACACTTGTCAGTGCTGGGC